TGGTATTTAATCAAGATTTATGTCACTTAAAAATAATTCAGTATTATTTAATCTGGATTTTCAAAATTTTTTAAAGAGTTCATTAAAATCTATTAGTATTCATTTGAAACTTTTTATAAGTTAAAAATAATCTATTAGTATTCAAAAATATAATGATATTTTAAAGGATTATTATATTAGAGAGATTTTGAAGGAATTTTTAGTAGTATCTATAAATACCAAATTCATAAAACAATTTCATCCAAACCCATCAAATTTTGGAAGATTTTTTAAAGTGACTTTTCAAGTGTTTCAAGAATTTTCAATTGAGTTTTTCATCTTTTTTCTTTCTTTTTATGCTCTTGTCTTCTTTATTTTTTTCTCTACTAATAATAATGCATCACTGCTCATATATAATATTGTACTACTGCTCCCATTTCATTCCTTTATTTGGTAAAACTTCAGTACGTAAATGATAGTATCATTGACTTGTTCTATTTTTCTCTTCATTCTCTTTAATTAACTTACTCTATTTTGCTTTATGTAGTTGAGTTTGTTCCTCAAATATATAACAAAGAAAATGCTTGAATTTTCAACTTTTAAGTAGTAATTTTTTTATAACATACGTCAAGAAAAAGGAAAAGTAAAAGCTGAAATTGATATCATAATCTCTACAATGAACTGTAGATCTTCGAGACCTTACCTCCGTACAAAAATTGTGATCACTCTTCCTCCCTTGAGTTTGTTATTGTTATTCTTTCTTTTATAACTCAACAATTATTTTATTTCTTTTTTTTACTATGAATTTTTTTTTAATTTTTATATTATAAAATTAGAATTTTTTATATTTTTAAAAAAGAAATTAATATAAAATATTGCGGTATCTTAGAATTTAATATTAAAAATATTTCTTCATGAGTGAATAATTGAAAGTAATTAAAAATTAAAAAAAAAATTGTCTTTCACTCTTTAAATTTGAATGTATAAAAAAATTCCTGATTTAAAATCTTGCAAAATCCTACAAAGTTTTAAAAGTCATAAAAATTTTGCAAAGTCTTTTAAAATTCGTAGGACTTTTAATTTTTATAACTAAAAAAACTCTTTAAAATCTTAATCCAATATATCCTAGAAAATACTTATAGTTTTGTTTATATGTTCATCATGGTTGAAGTTTGATTTTACTATAAAGATATTTTTAAACATAACAAAACAACAATATGTAAAATTTGTTTAATAATTAAATATATAATATTAGTATAAAGTTTTTATATTATCAATTAAAATAGAAATCAATTTTCATATAATTTTTAAAATAATTATTATAAAAATCAACAAAATTATGATGATTTGTGATTGGTGTACAAGACATTTTATAATATTGGTATATCTATTGTTTATTCATATAAAATCCAAGTTATATGAATTATATAAAAATAAATTGGTTGTCCTAAAAAAATTATTCAGTATTAAGCTTATTTTTCTTCAAAATTAATTTAAAACTGATTATTATTATTATTTTATTCACTATTAAGCTTATTATTATTATTATTTGGTATGGTTCTTATTGCGACTATTAATTATTTTATTTAAATATATAACACAGAAAAAAAAATTTCTGTATTTAAGCCTAAATTTAAAAATGGTTTTTGAAGAGTGTTAATTAAGCCTCCCTAAAATTAAGATAGTGTTACTTGATATGGATAAACATGGATTAAGTCGTCTAAATTTGTTTCTTCTGATCGAAACAATAATAATACTAGTAACTTGTTTAATTATATAATGGCCCACCTTGATTGATCTCAGTCAGTAAATTTATAATAGTCATTGTCAATATTCCAAATTCAGTTCATACCTTCATTTAAAGCAAGATTATTATTATTATTATTATTATTATTATTATTATTATTATTATTATTATGATGATGTAATTTGATTAAATTTATCTGTACATGTGTGTTTAAATTAACTTACATTCATATTAGAATTTTATACACATAATACATATGTACATGTAAATGTTGATATGCATTTGTTGTCCTTATTTTTTTAATGATTGTATGGATGACATATTTATGTAATTAATATAGAACCTTATAAGTTATGTGTCAAACAAAAGCAAGAATTAATGTAGTACTGTAATATTATAATTAATTAGCAAAACAAAGGTTGAATAAAATAGATGTGAAATGGTGAAGAATAATGATGGGAAGAAGAAGATCCCTCGGGAGACTACAAAATCCATTTGTTCCCCATCTGTGTTTTGCTTTATCTTACTTTAATTCCTTTTCCTTATGAGCTGCCACCACATGATCATTCTGCACCTCAACCTCAAGCCTCCATCTCTCGCCCTTTCTCTGACACCCCATTAACGGTTTTATGCCCTTTCGTTAAAAACAATTAAGAATTCTCACCAGCCAATATAATTCTAGTTTAAAACCCTCATCGTGGAATAATCGATGGATAACATGTTCTCAAATGTGATTACAGATTGTTTCGGTAAGTATGTAACAAAGAATATTGTTACGAGAGGTTAGTACTGGATCTTCAAGTCTGTATGATCATAGGGTAATTAACGTGATTCATATATAACTATTTTTGTTAAATATATGCAATCGATCATAGGTTCTACTTTTAAGTTTGTATATATATGCATGAACTAATTTGTATTTATAAAAAAAAATAAATGTTTTCAGAGATTAAACCTTAATTTTAGCTTCTGAGTAATGAATCTCTAACTCTTGACAATATGATATCTCTAGAAAAAAAAACATTAATTAAAAATTATTTAACATTTTAAAGAAAAATAATAATTTAAAAATAAAACATTAATTTTTATAGTTATTCTTATATAACTAATAAGTTTTTATTCAATATTTCATAAACAAATTTATCGTAATCAAAGAAAAATGATCATAAACATTTGTCTACTTCTCTTCCAACATACTTCTACCTTATTTGTTCTTATTTATATTTTTTTATTATATTACTTTATCTATATTTTTTAATTAATTTAAATAAAAATGAAATAGGTAATTTTTATTTATTTTAATTAAATAAATAACAAAAAAATTTCAGGGTGTCGGATAAATGTTTTTGTCTTTTGTGGGAAAAAGGTTTTATTTCTCAATATGCTTATAATATGTTTTATTTTTCTATTTATTTGATTGTATACACAAATATTATATGTTATGGGTGTACACAAAAAAAAAGTACAAGTAAATGTTAAAATTATTGGACAAACATTTTGTTCACTACATTATTTGATAGATATAATGTTAAATTTATTACAATATTTTTTAATATTAATATATTATTATAATGAATTATCATTATCTTAATGAGGATAATAGTAACGAGAATTAATTATGATAATAATAATATTAGTAATGATAATGATAATAACATGTTAATAACAAAAATAATAATAGATAATAGTGAAAATATTGTTAGATAATAATGGTAAGAGTCAGGATAATGTTACTACAAAATTATGATATATAATAAGTATTTTTTGTATTTTGGACAAAAAATTATCTCATAGTTTATTGAGCAACAAAAAATTGGACTTTTATAATTTTTTTTCATCTTTTTTTATTTTGTCTCATGGTATTTACGTAAATCAAACATAGAATAAATATATATATATTTTCAATCATGATAAAATATGTTTTTAGTAATTTTTTTTATATAATATTTAAATTCCAAACTTCACTTAAGAAGCAAAACATGCTTCGGTCAATCACGCATCTATTAATTTTATTATCTTGAAATTTTGAATGTCCTTCTTATAATTTTTTTTATTAATTTTATCTTTTTCACACCTTAAATTTTATATTCATCTTAAATTTATTTTTATTTTATTTTTTAATAAGATGATTTCTTTTTTTGGTAAAGATAGAAAATATTACAAAGATAATCACAATGAAGATTGAATCTAAGTCCTCGTACTTCTAACTACTCTAATCCCTCCCCACCCAACTACTATTTTAATAAAATGATTAATATTACATATATCGTTTTTCTTTCTTTACTTACTACCTTTCTCTTTTGCTCACAAGATGTATATATATTTGTGTGTCAATAAACATATTACTTGTCTTTTATAATTCCAATTTCTTGCTCCAAAAAATGTTTACCAGATGAGTGTATACACAATCTAAAGAAGAGAGATTTACAAAACAAAGAAAAAAAAAATATATATATATATATAACACAATGTCAAACTGCA